CTAACTTAGGCATTTAGGTATGAAGTTTTAGATAGTATTAGTAGTAGTTTCCTGCTACTAAATACCGGTTGTACTTGTGTTTCCTTTTTCTATTGTACAAAAAAATATAGACAAGACCATCTGAACTACTTCTCCATGTCATTTATCATCTTCTGTCATGTTGCCTGGTAATTGTTTTCTGTCTATGAAGAATTTCAGATCATGCTTTTGTAGAGGTCTTCCATTAACTTTTATCTGCTCAGATATCTCAGCTTTAGACCTACTTCCATTTTTAGAAAAAAAAAAAATTAGAATAAAAACCAGCACCATAGTTAAGAATTTGTATACTTAAAATTATTTTGCCTCTTACATCCATTTTGCATCATCTTTAATATGTACTTACTAAATTACTGATACTAAGAGGACTGTCAATCGGTTCTTCACAGCAAGGTCCTGCTGTATTCCTGGGAGATTATAGTTAATTAAGATCCTAGCAATAGGTACAGGCAGCTCAGTACTCATTCCAGGAGTTTCATGCATTGTCTGATAGTTGTCAAGTGGGAGTATTTATATGGTGATACTAGGTACTCAACTAATCAGACTCAGAAACATTTTGGAGGTCATTTTCAGCTTCAATTTTGACAGAATAATTGCACCTTTGTGGCTACCGTCTTGTCTTTCCCTTTTTTAAATTGGCTCAGCCTCAGGCAAGGCGCAGTTGGTCTTTTATTCTCTTAAAAGCTGAATGCTCAATCTAACACTTAATTTCTGTCTGATTCAGTAAAATACCTTACACCCTATGATTATTTAGTTGCCTTAATATATTCTCTGTGATTACCTTCAGAAATCTCAGCTTTTGATTACTTGCATTCATAGCAAGAATTAATTATTTGGAATGTAAGCTCTATTTCAAGTGACAATATAAGGTCTATTTCAGGTCACAAGTTTGTCATATACAGGTAATATAGGTGGTCTCAGCTTTTATCATCCCTTTTTTCCCCCCTTTTCTCCTCCCTTCCTTTCTTTTGCATCACAGCAAAAGAATTTTGAATTTCACGGCAAAGGTGAAGTAGGATAATCTCAATGAAGAATTTTCTCGTTTTTCTGTGGTGTCCCAAGAGACACCTTGAAGGGATTGCTATTCATGTAACAACAGTTCTTTATATAAAGAGTGCATTCACCTGTTTGGACATGCTCATGACTTAGATTTCCTGTGTGAGTTTTTAATTTTTTCAATTACTAACTTAAAAATATGTCAGATCAGAAGTTTCTGGAACCTTTTCCCGCTTATCCTCCTTTAGCATTTTTAAGAGCTAGGAAAAATTCTTCTACTGTCAGGTCAATACTGAAAAATTTAAGAGCCACCTCTTTGCATCAAGTGAATCGTATGCAGAGAGAAATAGTGCTCTCAGTTTCTCATCTCTCTCTTCCCTATGGAAACATTTCACGGTGCTAGACTCATGGTGTACCTGTCTCTAGCAGCTGTGGACATATATGTCTCTGTTCCATGCACTGCTGTGCAGATTCTTCTCTGGCATAGATACCATATTAGCAGAAACACACATTCCCACCTTCCTGCACTTTGGTGTTTGCCATCTGTGTCAGCTCTCAGTGTCTTCCACTGTTGCCCTTCACACACGTCCTCCACTCACCTCCAAGAAATCAACCCTTGTACCTTTCATGCAGCTGACCTAAGAAATGGCACTGTTTCCTTCAGACATATTGCTCAGCATTAAAGCAACAAGATTAGCTCCACTTTTCTCAGCCAGGACAGGAAGGACATCTGTGTCAGGTACTGGTGTAGACTGAAATAGGTGAAGTGTTTCTGTGCAGACTTCGTGATTTTTCCTCTTGGAACTCTTTGTCTGCCTGCTGGGATTTTTCTTCTCATCTTCCTGATGTATATGTGGGTGATACGTATGTGTGTACAAATATGTATATATACAGAGGAAGAGATACAGAATTTTAATATATATGTGCCCACTTGTATAGCTGTGTGTTTCGTTTGCCTTTTTTTTTTTCTTCCTGTCTATATGTCTTTTTCTCATATACTGCTTTGATTGTGTGGGGCTAGGGTGGGTATCTGACTCAATAACTCTGTCTTCACCGATTCCTTGTTGTAGACTATTGGGGAGAGTCTTATTACAGTGACCTCATCGACTTGCATCTGGGTGGTATGTATAGCTGAACCTCCTGCTGACACTAACCCTGCTGACACTCCTCCCCACCCCTCCCTTCACCTACTTCTCCCATCCTTAGCTCACAATTAAGAAGATACAGCCCTTGCACATGACTGGCAGAACCCCTTTTCCAGCTCAGGAAGAGGAGATCCTGGCATGCTCCACAAACCATGTGTAAGGCTCCCTCTTCTATTTTCCACAGTGCTGATTATTTCAAAATTTACTTACTGTGGTCACTCCAGCTAGCTTTCCTGCTAGCAGTGGAAGGCAATTCTGGTTTTTGCTTCTCCTTTGCAAAGTCCAAATCTACCATTGAAATCCTATGTTGGAAAGTAAAGGGAACACCAGAACTGAACTGCTCCCAAGAGCTAACAGCACTGTAAAGGATTAGTCATGCCATTGCCTCCCTTTTCCCCTCCTGAGGCTCATTTGCTTCTTCCAGAAAAGCCAGAGTGTGTTGATGATCTAACAAAACCAA